CGAGCTTCCCTTAATCCCAGTGACCTTCAAGATGAATAAAACGTTAGAAAGGCGTAGTTGGTCAATCGCTCGAACATTTCAAGCAATTATATTCATTGCTTGTGTCTTACGTACACTTATGAAAATATTAGAAAAAAAAATTTGAAGAGTTTTATGGAATTCTTGAATGTTAAGATGAAAAGCCGCTTTACGCAGCAGCTCCTAGGAAAATTATTGTATAGTTATACAAATTAATAAATTATTAAATGTGGCCTACACTTTGTAAGAAAATGGATGTTGTATATTAAAAACGTACATAAAAATCATTTCATGGTCAAATGAACCGTCATTTTTTCAGAGAAAACCCAACAAACGTCGATTCGATCGCTGAAAACTCTAAATTGTTGTAAATTCCAATAAAAAAGTTTTGTTGTCAGCTAAGTTTTCGTGAGTTTCCATTTCCAACACGATTTGGATTCCTTGTTTGCGTGAATACTTTCATAATTGTAAAAGAACTGTGTCGTACATAGAGTACGCTTCTAGCTAGTTTTATTGACATTAATCTGTTGAAATGTTTTGTTTCTGAAGCCGATTGTGTGTATACAGCGTTTTAAAAGTCCCCTAATTTTATTTTAAGTTCAACTTGAAAAGAACCGCGATAACCAGGACCTGGAGGACAGCCCTCGAATGCACTTTTTAACGCCCTTTTATGTTAAGGCCTACCCAGACGCTTTAACTTCCATAAACAAGAGGCAATGTAAATTATTATCTTATGAGACAGAAAACATACAGTGATAAAGAATCCGACTTAAGAAGTAAAATAATAGATAGGTTCAAAAACAAGAGAACTACATTGCCAATGTGTCGCGCGTGCCCAAATTAAAACATTTAGAGTATAAAAGATATTACACAGTCACTAGTCTTTGCTCTTTGTGTGTCACTTCATATTTTTATAGTTACAGCGAGTTTTTAGAATTTCAAAGTAACGGAGTAGTGTTTTGTTTCTAAAATAGTGTTCATATAGAGGAACTATATTTTTTTATTATTATAATATATATGTAGAGGTGTAATTATTGTATATATAGAAATTTCGCAATTTCATTTGTAATATTGTCGACGTATCGTTATTTCGTAATTCCACTTGCACGTGCATGAATCAGTCGCCCTAAAACCGCCATGTAAGTCAGAGGACAATAAAGATAGTGAATCCTATTTCGGTTTTCATTTGGTGTACCTCAAACACTAAACTGGTGACCCTGACGTGATTCAATGTGAACAAAAAGGAAAATCTAAATAGGGCGGGGCGACTCACAAAAATATATCGTGCAAGTATACGAAGAAAGCGCCCAACAACGGTGAAATCGCAGTTATGGCCGGAGCATCATTAGCAGCACCACAGATGTCTGCTGCAGACACACTCACGGGGTTCATGCAGCAATTAAACAAGCTCACGCTGGAAGTTGCGGCACCATATTGAGACAACAGGTCCGCCAGTGTATACGCGCGCAAGGAAGCTGCCACCTCACAGGTATGATTTAGTTAAAAAAGAATTCCAGCTGATGCAGGAGTTAGGGATATGCATACCATCGAGTAGTCCAAAGGTTTATAAATAGTACGATATTAGCAGGCATAGAACATTTGAATAGTTAAGATGATAAGAATATAACCGGGGAATCATATGTATTCGGGTAGGTACCAAAAGCATTTGCGACTTTTGTTCGAGCGTTTCAGTAAATACAGGTCAATTAACTTAGGAAAATGTGTTTTTGGTCAAACAAAAATAGATTTTTTAGGATACGAGGTCTCAGAAAAAGGTATTAGTCCGTTACACGACAAAGTTCAAGCTATCGAAATGTACCCGAAGCCAGAAACTATTGTGGACCTTCTCAGGTTTCTCGGCATGTTAAACTTCTATAGAAATCACATACCGAACGCCGCGAAAGTACAAGGAACGTTAGATAGGTATTTGCATGGAGCAAAAAAGAATGATAAGCGTAAGATACAGTGGACAGACGAGGCTAGTAGGGCATTTGATTTGTGTAAGGAGAATTTAAGGAACGCCGCCACTTTATCGCATCCGATTGCAAACGCAGAATTAGCTTTAATGACCGACGCATCCGATTTCAGTATCGGCTCGGTGTTACAACAAAAGGAAAACAAAACTTCCTACTACGGATTCCTATCTATTTTAAATCCACAGAATGTTTTGAACCTTCTTTACTACTATTTATTCAGATTTCATTTGAACATTGACCAATTGCTGACACGGCTCACGTAGTTGTTCTACATTTGTAACACCTGACGTTGCGCGAATGACCAACAGCTCACTGGTGTAAGTAGTATTTCTAATATTGTTTTATAATAATAAATCAGATGTGAATACTGCCCTGTCTTATTCATTTCTCGCTTCCTCTCAAAGTGGCGAAGACTACTTCAAGCCCTTAATTATAGTGAGCCTGCCCCATAATCCAACCACCTTGTCCTTTGAGGTAACAGACGGAGCCCTATGAGTAGGCCGTAGGGCTCCGTCTGTTACCTTAGCTCTCTTGGTGCAAACATCTTGTACTTATTTATATATTCACTATTTCTGTGTTAGGGTAGGTACGTCTATTGGGCTTAGGGCTCAATGCTACGTGTTAAGTTCTTACATCTCAACCTCTCATATAGTCATCTAGTGCAGCTTGTTCCTACATACACTACATATACTATACTCCTGACATTTATTACAAATAAATTTAAGCACACATATCACAGTCCACTGGCTGGCAAGTTGTACATTGATCCTTCGAACCGGATGGAGCAATATCTGGACTTTATTAAGTTAATTAATATGCAAATTGTATTGCATTTTCATTAACCTAATAAAGTCAAGGTAATAAGTCAGGCCCAATTTTTAATATTTTATTTTAAACTAAGAAAATATTAGATCTCCAGTTTTGGAGATACATTTAAAGGGTTTTCCACCTATACATATTGGTTGTATATTCCAACTGTATCTATTTAAATAAAACAATTTATTATTTTTTATTTATCTTATATTTGACGGTGGGTTATTAAAACTTTTATTAGAATGGCAATTCAAAATTGTTAAAAAAATAAATATCCTCACGTTACGTCGTACAAAATGCAATTTTCACGCGTTGAGGAGTTTTGTATTAACGCGGCGGCTGATATTGTAATATGGCTGCAACTTTATACAGTTTTTATTTTCAATTAGAACGCAAGTAGAGTTATGAGTTATTCAGAAATCAGGTTGAGATTCCAGCAAATAAAAGTCGGTATTTCTATTCCAGGTTTAACGCTATATGAATTCATATCAATTTAGTATTTCCAATACCTAGAATAAGTAAAATAGTTTCCTGTTTCAATGTAATGATGTCTTTTCCAAACAAAGTATTAAAATGTTCTTAGGCTACTTACTAATAATAATAATTTAAAAAACTGCCCTGTGGCAATCTCTTGTCCTATAATAATGCTCCCCTTTGTCAGTATAACGCTGTTATTGGGTTAATAGTTATCTTGAATTTCCCAAATCGTTTCAATAAAACTACTTAACTAAAGTATTAGTAAAAAAAAATTATCTTCAATAAATAGATGTTCATATTAAATGAATACTATAGACTGATAGTGCGATGCGATAAATTGTACATATCGGTGATTCGCACAGAAACGATGACAGATGAAGGGATATTGATACTTTCCTGATAGCTTCGTCCCTCGATAATAGCAGCTCGATCAATCAAAGACAGACTACTGTGCGGTAGTTCTATACTGGTGTGATGTTATTCAAGGACTTTTTGATAGAATTCATTCTAATTATTTGTAATTTAAGATAACACAACTCGTGAGTACAGTCATAGTTAAAAGTCCAAACAACGTCCCGTATACAGCCGATCCACTACATTGACGGTCCTTCCAACTTCTTTAACTCATTCACTCACTTTACATAATATTAGATTTAAAAAAATATGATTTGAAACGATTTTGTGCAGTTGTACGGAAGTTTTATATTCATTTAATGTAATAATAAATATATACACAAAGAAATAACATTGCGATGGAAGATCGGGTAATTTATTCACTTAGAAAACTGTATAAGACGGGTGCATTTCGTAGGTGTTAAGTAAATGTGGTTGAAACTTTATAAGTATTCGCGCTAATTTTAGTATATTTTGACTGAAATATTATATCCACCTGGAAGGCTTGAACTCTTTTACAATTCGCTTTACAAGACCCTTTCTTTTGCGAACTTTCGAGCTACGGAATCGACTACCGGGGGTGGTCTTCTCGAGGAGATACGACTTGCAACTGTTCATAGTAAGAGTGTACTCCTCCCTCAAAGACCGGCAAACCACTAAACATGAGTGTCCAAGGGCTGCGATACTGCCCTTTTTGGGCGTTTGCGTTTGCCCCCAATTCTATAATTAAAATAATAATAATAATCATCTGCACAACACATAAAACAACTCGAGTTCGATCTTGCAAGCTAGCATTTTTTATAGAGCGTGACAAGTGTAACATAATTAGTACAGTGCTACCAGTTGATCAGAAAGGGCGTCGAAATAAAAGAATATCGGAAAATGCTCTCGCAACGTGCGCCTCTGGTCCTGTCATGCTGCAAAGGCTTTGTGTGTCATGTTATGTTACCTGAATACGAGTTACGTGAAATTTGCTATCCTGTAACTTTAATAGTCTCAGCGTTATGATTTTTTAAGAATGGAAAGTGTTAATTACATAGGAATTACTCTTTCATTCAACTAAGTCAAGGTTTTCTAGTCAGTAGATTTTTAAAATTAGCTTTTTACTAGTTTACATCACAAAATCAATTATTTTTTTCATTTCAAAAATAATATATCGAAAACTGTAATTACTATGATGTGAAATATCGCCTGCCTACCAAAATAAAATTTCCCTTGTGTTTACAAGGATACAAAATATACCCATCTTTTAGGTTTACCCGACGAAATCACATAAATAACAAACCCATTCAAGTCTCTTATGTAATGATGGCAGGAAAAATAATGAATAAAAGACCTAATACAACAAACAGGGCATCTCAAGTCCGAACAATCCCATATTTACGAGAGTCCCGATCCCTCGTCCCGGGACAAACGGGACGAGACAAATTACAATTTGTTCCATTCCAGATTGCTTCGCATAAAAGCGTCGTTAATCATGATATGCTTTTTGCTCTGACCTATCGTTGGACGGTATGGGAACCTGTCAAGTTGTATGACCTAAGAACCTTAGAACAACTAAGCCACGGAGATGATTAGAACGTGTCTTCCAAGATATTAGTTTATACATATTTAACAGACTCCTCCTACGTTCAAGTAAATAATTACAATGTAGCCGTTTCGTTTATGTTGTATTAAAATCTAGAATATTCCAGACAAAAGGCAGTTCATGACTAAACAGCATCGGTCCTGCGTTCGTAAATTCAAGTTTTAAATATTTTTATTTTATTTATTTATTTATTTACACTTCGTTGCTAAAAAAAGAAACACAATACATAAAAATTATAAGGGATGCAACGGGCGGCCTTGTCGCTAATAAGCGATCTCTTCCAGGCAACCCTAGTTAAAGAGAAAAACTAAAAAAAAAAAGAAACATGATGCGTGCGAGAAGTGCAGAACCAAATATTATATATAAAAAAAATTTATTAATAACAGACTAAAAACTTAAAAGCTAATCATACAAATACATGAACAGCGAATAGTGATGTAAAAGGAATCATAAGAATTATACAAGTCACGATTGATCAGGATAGGATAAGGTTAAGAAATGATTATACAGAAGAGTTTTAAAAGATGACAGAGAGGTAGCCAATCGTACGGAGTCAGGCAGCGTATTCCACAACTTAATGGAATGGAATTTCCAATAAACATCTATTAGAAGAGCGTAACATATAGTTAGAAGGACCTAAGAATTTGAAGTGATTTTTGAGGGGTTTTCGGATTGAAAAGAATTGAGTATAGAAGTTGAAGAAGATGAGCGTGACGTCTGAATCGAATAGGTAGCCACCCCAGCTGCCTGCGGAATTTAGACATATGGTCATATTTTCTAAGACCAAATATGAAACGTATGCAGAAATTCTGCATGCGTTTGATCTTGTCAAGTAGCTCTTCGTTCAAATCAGAGGAGCATGAGTCCGCATAATCGAGAATTGGAAGCAGAAGAGACTGCGCTAACATAGTTTTAGTGCGGATAGGAAGGAAATTAGAAAGACGTTTCAGAGTAAAAGAAGCGGCGTAAAGTTTACGGCTGATCTCCTTTACGTGATGACCCCAGGAAAACGTTTGGTCGAAGAAGACCCCAAGGTTTTTAACAGTCTTATTGAGGGCCAAGGCCACACCGTCAAGGTAAACACCAGGGAGCTGAGCCCATTTGACTCTTCAAATAAAGAAAGGGCTTCCGATGATAATGACTTGACTCTTGGCAGGATTAATTTGAAGACCAATGTCTTTACTCCAGTTGGCTATGTTTTCAAGATCATCATTCATCGCCTGTATTGCAAGAGGAAGCTCATCCAGTGTAGACTGAACGTAGATTTGGAGGTCATCAGCGTAAAGGTGATAATTAGCGGATAGATGTGCAGTCAGGGTGTTGATAAAGATAGAAAAAAAAGAAGAGGTGAAAGAACGCCACCCTGCGGAACACCAGTACTTATATTATTCCACTGAGAGTAAGCATCATTCATTTTAATACGCTGCCGACGACCGTTAAGATAGCTTTAAAACCAGTCAATAGCAGATGGACAGATATTTATAGAGCGAAGCAACCCGAGCAGAATTTCGTTCACAGTATTGAAAGCATTGCTAAAGTCAAGCAGAGTGAGAACAGTGAGCTGCCCACCATCCATCCCTCGGCGAATGTCGTCACAAACTTTAACCAATGCAGTAGTCGTGCTATGCCCCGGGCGGAAACCCGATTGGAGAGGGTCTAGAATTGAGTTTTTATTCAGAAATCCGCTAAGCTGCGAGTGTATAAGGCGCTCTAGAGCTTTAGATAGGAATGGTAGAATAGAAATGGGCCGGAAGTCAGAAAAGTTAATGGGATCGCGCCGTTTGGGAATAGGAATAACTAGACTATCCTTCCAAGAAGTAGGGAATTTACCACTAGTAACTGAATAATTAAAAATATGAGTAATAACTTGAAGAATAGCTGGCAAGATAGGTAACATAATAGCACGTCTAACTTGATCACATCCGACAGCATCCGACGAGATAGACAGGATGCAACCCTCCACTTCGCGCTCGGTGAATTCAGTGAAATTAAAAGGCATGAAGTTTGGAGTTGGAAGAGAAGCTAATTTATTGATTGTCTTCCTAAGAGAAGACTTATCGTGAGCAGGAGAACAGGTGAAGTGAGAGTTAAGGTTGTTTATATCTATTGCTGAAGAAATAATATTCTGTGCCGATCTGCCAATCCCCAAGGTTTTGAGGAACTACCAGATTTTTGAGGTATCGCCATTGGATAGTCGTGGATATGTTCCCTTTGAGCATCACGACAGCGAGTATTACAACGATTGCGAACTACGTTATATTTTTCGCGCTCCGCATCAGATTTGGCAGTTCTCATTTTAGCTATGGCTCGGTTTTTTTGTGAATCAATCTTTTTATCTCATCAGAGAGCCAGGGAGCAGGTAAATGTTTAAGTTTAACACGTCTCAATGGGGCGTGCTTATCATAGAGGTTTGTGATGGAAGAAGTGAACAACTCAACTTTGTCGTCGAGGTAAGCTAAGTCGTACAGACCACTCCAGTCAATTTTGGATGCATCACTGAGCAGGCTATCATGGTCGATTCCACCAAAGCTGCGACGCATAACTACCGTGGGCTTCTGTTTGGGTGGCTTCGCTTTAAAGGAGAGATAGAGAAGGTCATGGTGAGAGAAGGCGACAGCAGGAAGTTGCCCATGCTTAGTGACAAGGTGAGGAGAGGAAACAAAAATAAGATCCAAAAGTGACGGAGTAAAACCGGGGACTTTATGCGTAGCGTTAAGATATAAGTTTTGTAGGTTGTAAGAGTGAGTTAAAGAAAGGAGCCGTCTGGAGCGAGAATCATTTTTCAGCAGACATGTGTTAAAGTCACCCATGACTATTGTGTTTTTATATAAGGGAGAAAATTGGTCAATGGTGTCTTCAAAGGAATCAAAGTAGTCCACCGATGATGAAGGGGAATAGAAGACTCCTAGGAGAAGCTTAGAGTTGGATAGAAGAACTTCGATAAGGAGATGCTCGGCTGCATTGCTAGGTGGAGGCTGTGGCGATGAGTTAATGATGGAGAAGGGGATGTGAGAACGTAAGTAAATTGCCACACCACCTCCACGCATGCCGAGTCGGTCATTTCTAATTAAATTGTAACCAGGAAGAGAGTAAGTACCAGAGGAAAGGGAAGGATTGAACCAAGTTTCAGAAATAAGTATGGCATGGATGTCTTTAGAGGCCAACGTAAGCAGATCTGTGTGATGAGCTGGAACGCTCTGAGCATTAATGTGTACAACATTGAAGTGCTTAGGCAAGTTTTGAAAAATAGAGGATAAGGTATCATTTAGGGTAGGCGTGGAGAAGTCAATGCTATGGAAGGAGTCACAATCGGACGATTCCAGAGATAAGAAATCAGAGTTATCACTACTGCAATCCATGATTAACAAAAGATTGATAATAAAAAAATAATAAAAACTAATCTAAAAGTTAAATAAAATCTACACCAAATAAATAAACGCTTAAACTTTAAAAATAAAAAATAAAAAGAAATAAAAAAAAGATGTTCTTGCGATCGCACTCAACCGCTGATATGTAAGGATTAGTACAACAATAGGTATTAGCAATGATATAGAAGTAGTGAACGGATAATATATATATACACTGTAAGAATATCTTCTGTAAATCTTAAAGAGCTAAAGAGACTAATTATAACTATTTCTAAAAACTGTTTAACAATGAAATATGTATATCTAGAGGGTTTAATCTACAATGTTAAGAATAAGAATATTCAACTCCAGTACAACCACTTAACTAAGAGATATCAGCTGTGGCCCCACTTTAGGGCATTTTATAGGAAGGCTTCACAGACTACATTCATGAGTAAATATGTATATACAGTAATTTTTCTAGTTAGCGGAAGTGACAGTTGACATACAGTGTGACAGACGACAGTGTCAATGAATCAAACAATTAGCGTCTAAATTAAATACACATTAAACACAATTAAACATAGAAATATAAGATAAATCACTTGCAAATATTACCCACACAAGTTATTAAAACTAAATTAAACATCAACTTTTTTAGTTCTTCCATAATAATTGAATAGGTTGTTGAGAAATAAAAGATGAAGGTAGTTTACAATAAGAAAATTCTACTTTGGGATAATTATTGTTATCAGAAGGATATAATTAAGGAAAAATTAGCGATTCATATGCAATACAACACTAGTACATCACTAACAGTGTAAGTAATATAATTTGAGTTAAGAAACTATTTTTAATTAGCACAAAACACAGAGATACACCAATGCGTGTTTACACTACCCACACGATTCAAATAGTAGAAATGTAATTGAAAAGTGGTATTCATTAATGTTGTCTGTTAATCTGTTAAAACTCAATTTATTCCATTCTGCCTTATCTATTGCACGCATCGCATCACTCTGATTCACTAGTATTAAATCGGCCTTTATCATTTAATAACGAATTTACTGGAACATTTGTCCTTCGTGAATATGCACTGTCTATGCCCCATAGTGCACAGTACACTTCGCAAGCGTAGACCTCAATCCGTCAGTCTACGATACAGCAATTAGCTGTAAGGAAACAGTTCGTCAAACTGTCCTTGTGACATTAGTAGCGATCGAATATACAGGTAATGCACAATCCTGTTGAATTATTCATGTTGCCGTTGATAAATATTCATGATAAAGTTCGTTAGGCACTAATAAATACCGACAAGGTGTCGTGTAAGGTCATAGATCTTTAATTGATTTTTAATGCATTTATCTTCAAATACTTTTTCATAAATTCTGTCAGTATGTAAAAAATATTAATTTTAAGCTAAGCTTTAATTTTACCAAACGATAGCAATATTCTTGGAATTTTTAAAACGCTCCATTTTTATATGGAACATTTATAAAAAACGGTCCCTTTTTGTAAAAAACAAAATCTATTCTCGCCGTCGGAACAAAAACTGTAATAAAGGAAAAACCAGGTTAATTCCTCGGTTCCAGGCTCTCGTAAGAGGGATATTATTATAACTAGAAGTATTAAAAAGCTAATTA